CTCTCTCTCTCTCTCTCTCTCTCTCTCTCTCTCTCTCTCTCTCTCTCCGTGTCTGCATGAAGATCTTGACTCTGGATACGCCCGCAACTAAGCTGTACTGCCTACTACTAGCTGTGCGGCTATGGGCGCCTTCCTTCCTCAGCGCAGCGCTGCCCAGCCAGGGCTCCAGCACTAGCTTCTCACAGATAGCGCACAAGCGCCTCAGCAGCAGTTCCACACTTTGCGAATGAGCAATCTGTCCGAAATGAGGCTGGCCAGTCCTTATACTGACTTGGACTGAGTCTTGACTCGTCCCAGCCTCTGCTTCTCTAGGTTTGACTTGGACCCGGTACCGGCTGCCCGCCGCCTGTTTGCTTTAGAATGTTGAGGCCCGGTACCTCCCTGAGTTTTCGTTTGTGTGCTGCTGCTTTTCGGTATGTGGGATGTGACCTTTGACTCTGGGCCGTGACCCTTGCCTGTGGGTTATGACCTTGGAGTTATTATGAACTGTGAGACATGACTTTTGCCTATGGGGTGTCACTTTAGCCTGTGAGACACGACCTTTGACTGTGGGACTTCTGCCTATGGGATGTGGCTTTTGTCTCTGGGATGTGACGGTTGACCTCTGCTGTACCTGTTGGACTTGACCCCTCTGCTGTACCCGACGTAACCTTTCTGAAACTGGCCGACCTGGCCTCTTTCGGCCTGGGGACTTCGATCCTGAGATTCGAATTTGGGGTCTGCATCGTGGAATGCCTTTCAGTATCTGGTTATAACACTTTATACTACTTGCATTATATGTTTTGTCCTCTTTTGAATTGCCAGCCCATTTTGAAAAAGTTCTGCCTGCATAGAAGAATTTTTAGTGGTTTTTTTTTTTTTTTTTTTTCCACGATAAATTTATGAAAGTATGAATCTTTACACATTGTACAATATAGAGCCTTCACAGTCATTTCTTCATTTCTCCTGTCCAAGCACCAAAATCCTGACAGAGGCATATGATGGAATGCTCATTCAGAACCTTGCCTTGTGTGCAGATCGAATCAGCGGATTGTTCCCGGCGACATGTGCAGAAACCCAGCAGATATTGGCAAGTACAGGAGCACGCCACCCAGGAGTCGCCACGCGTTCTTTTCGTCTTTGGGCACCGTGGTCGCTTCCTGTCTTCTGGTTTTAGTAATTCTTTTTGGAGCGGTTCTGTTCATGGCTTATCGAGGATATCTACCAGAAGGGGTCCTTGAGCAAGTCCCGCCCTTGCTCCGGTTCCGCTATCAGAACCTACGTGGCAATTTCCAGTCCTTGACCGATGATTTTGGTCTGGGGGATGAAGACGAACGAGAAATGCGGTGACATGATGAACATAGGACAGGAACGCTTGAGAAGAAGCACACAGGTGAGTCCCACCACAATTTGAAATAAGCAAATGGGAACAATTATGGGCAACCAAAATATTTGCTGTTGTTATAGCCCACTTGGTGGCCTTCTGCCTAACAGGAAAGGGCTTTGCCCTTGGTGCTCCGGTCTCCAAAAAGATTTGAACTCATGACCCCTTTATTATCAGCTGTATGCATTTAAGGTTCAGCCCCCAGCCATGTACTTTCTGTGTGTGTTGTGTGTGTGTGTGTGTGTGCACGAGCGAGCGCGCGCGTGAGAGAGAGAGAGAGAGAGAGAGAGAGAGAGAGAGAGAGAGAGAGAGAGAGAGAGAGAGAGAGAGAGAGAGAGAGAGAGGTGGATTCTGTGATCAACGGCCCCTTCAGCACCTGGTTAAGTCATCTGCGCATTGTGCTATTAGGCCAACTTAGCTGTTCTATTTTACTTCGTTTACTGTACTTTGCTATCATTGTGTATCTGATCGTTTGTCGTTGTTTTCTGCTGTCTCATGTCTTATCTTCTGCAGTCCTTCCGCATTTCCCTGTCCTCAGTTTGGCTTTGTGTTTGCAGTCAGTGTTCCCCAAGTTTTCACTTGCCATGTCATCTTGATCACATTCTGCTAGCTAAGCGAAGGTCAGTGGGGAAGCCGGCTGTTTGCTGCTTTACTTGAATATCTTGCAGGAAGGAGGACAGGTAGTTTGGAATTGCATTTAGAGGCTTGCAATTGCATCAAGAGTCTGCAAGGGATGTTTGGGTTGTCGCAGGGATGCGGCCATGTAGGCAACTCCCTGCGACCCACGCCGTTTGCTGCTTCATGTGAAAGGCAAGGAGCGCTGGCAGCCATTTCAGTGATGAACCAGGTTGTGTTCGGAGCCCAACAGGTAGGGATGTGCGTGAACGCAGTGAAGAGTGGATGGTGCAGTCTCCTGCGACCAAGCTGCGGAGCGCTGCGTTGGTTGCCGTTGCCCGTGGACGGAAGAATGATATGTAAAGTAGCGTGGATTGTGTCGTGTCCTCGATGTCAACTAATCACATGAGATGGTCATCTAGTCCTTGATGTCAACGATGGTACCAGATGGTCCTGTTGTCTGGTCCTTGATGTCAACAATGGTACCAGATAGTCCTACTGTCTGGTCCTTGATATCAACAATGGTACCAGATGGTCCTGTTGTCTGGTCCTTGATATCAACAATGGTACCAGATGGTCCTGTTATCTGGTCCTTGACATCAGCTCATCCCACTGTATATATCATGTAATGCATAACAGAACTCACTGTCGACTAACACATAACACCGACACCACACAATTTAAGTGAAGGCGGGTTTGTCTATATTCGCAAGTGCGATGACGATAGACTTAGGGTATGTGGGACATTTGAATGAAGAACTCTGTGCTAGTGGTTCTGGAAGATCGCTTGCATGGTAGCCAGGGGATTCCACAGGAAGAGGACAGGGTGGGAACAGTATGAATTAGAATCAATTATTACTTATCCTCCCCTTCCTCCTTCCTGCCTGCACTCCTCCTCCCCTTGTTGTCGTCCTCGTTGTCTTTATTCCTTCTGTTCATACTCCAGAGAGTGACTCTCACTTGTCTTATGCCTCCTGTTCTTCCTTGAGAGAAAAAACTGTCAATAACAGGTTTTCCTTTAGAGCCAATATGGAGTCTTACCTTTCCCTTTTGCACATCTTCTTTTCCTTCCCTCCTCACCCTCCTCCTCCTCCTCCTCCTCCTCCCCCTCCTCCTCCTCCTCCTCCTCCTTCCCCTTCCCCCTTGGGAACACAATTTATGTTCTTTGTTGTTTGACTTGTCCTAAGAAAGTACTGTAGATATGTTTCCAAGCTCTGAAGAGTCTGAATTTATGAATCTATGCTTCCATTTATTTGACGAGGTCGGTTACTATGTCTTTTTTGAAGTTTTTTCCTTTTTCTAACTCGTTGCAGGAGGGTTCAATTAATGAGGTGATAAGAGCCCCCTCCTCAAGGGGTCCCTTGCGTTGAGGGCTCCGCCTATTGGTGGGAAGAAGCACCTGCTGGAAACCAGGTCCAGCGTTCCTTTTTTTTTTTTTTTTTTTTTTTATACAATGATGATTCAACGATTGTCTGTGACCATTGGCTACAGAAATTGAACCTTTTTTTTTTTCCTTTTTTTTTCCCCTTAAACACCAGTCCTACTGAGTCAGTGTCCCCCTGGATGAGAAGTTTGATTCTTCGCCATTTGCATAATATCTGTCTCGATCAGATTCTTCGTTTCTGCCCCCAACTTTCATAGGGGACGCTGGGCCTGGTTCCCAGCCATGTTGCTCCCCACGTGGCCCCACCTTCTCTCTTGGGTTCTTTGTCTCATCGAGGGTAAGCTATGTGTTCACTTTTTTTTTTTTTTTTTTTTTTTTTTTTTTTTTTTTTTTTTTTCCACTTCTCTGCTTCCATTTCTTCACAAGTTCTGCATTTCTTCACAGCTGGTACCCTTGAGAGCCAAGTGTTCAGGATATGAGGATCTATGGTTCAGAATCCTTCCTTCTTCCCCCGAATACAACATACAGTAATTATAGCTGTATTGGGGGTATCTTTCAGTCTAAATACAGTTATAATGACCGTATGTTGTACTCGGGGGAAGAAGGTAGGTTACTTTCTTGGTACTGTAGTTTGTAAGTTGTGTGCACTGTGCATGACACCAAGTGGGCTTTTTAAAGCAACAGTTGTTGCGCCGCAGTCCAAATGCCATGGAAGTGCACGTGCTGTCCGCAGGACGAGTGGGCCGCGGAGGGAGTCGGAAGCAGTGCTCGAAATTTTCAGTGTGCCAACTTTGTGGATGATAGCGCGCGCGCATGCGGGGAAAAAAAAAAAAAAAAAAAAAACGTGCAGAAGTTTTGGCGGAAAAATCTGGGAAAAATCAGGAGTGTACGTTGAGTGCTGGGGCCAAGTCCCACTAGCAGCGTTGAGCCACCTCCAACCCTGAATCTGGACGCTTTTCCGGAGATGTGCAGAAATGGTGTAGAGTTTCCTAAACTGCACGTCTCCACAAACACGTCCAGATTCAGGCGTTGAGGTAGATCAATGCTGCTAGTGGGGTGGGGGGAATTATTTCAATTATAAATTTATAATTGATGCTTTTCTAGGCCACCAGAGTGGCCCGGGGCCACTTGCCCGACCGGACGAAAAAAAATTAAACAAAATAAAAATAAAGATAAAATGTTTAATTTTATTTTTTATTTGACATTTGGTAAAGAATTTCGATGTGACCCTGAGGTAAAAGTTGTTCAGTTTGTTTTTCTGCATAACATTTTTTTTTCAGAATTTTATATTTTTTGATTTTTTTTTTTTTTTTTTTTTTGCTGGGACCTTCCCTGGTCATCGCACGGCCGGGCCGCCCGGGAAAATAGGGTGACCCGGGCCGGGCAGCCTGGCTGGTAGCCTAGATTCTTTTCCTTTTTTTCTGGATGGGGAAAGGCGCTGAAAGGTGTTTTTGGTTGGTTTTCATCCCTGCTGCTACCAGTAGGCGCAAATGCTTTTGCCCCCTGCTTCTACCGGTAGTCCCTAGACCTTGGGAAAAAGTGACAACCGGTGAATGCCCGTTTCTTTCTTTCTTTCTTTCTTTCACGTCAGGTAATTCAGCAATCACATCCTCCACTTTGATCCAGGTTCGAACTCAGGTCAGTTAATTCAGGAATCACATCATCCGGTTTGATCATGGTTCGAACTAAGGTCAGGTACTTCAGGAGTCACATCCTCCAGTTTGATCCAGGTTCGAACTCAGGTCAGGTAATTCAGGAATCACAACCTCCAGTTTGATCCAGGTTCGAACTCAGGTCAGGTAATTCACGAATCAGTGAATCACATCATCCAGTTTGACCCAGGTTCGAACTCAGGTTAGGTACTTAAGGCATCATCCAGTTTGACCCAGGTTCGAACTCAGGTTAGGTACTTAAGGAATCAGTGAATCACATCATCCAGTTTGATCCAGGTTCGGGATATAACTCAGCGGTAGAGTGCCACCTTGACATGGTGGAAGCCATCAGTTCAAGTCTGATTATCCCTAGATTGATGAAACCAACTAATTGATTGAAGACTGTTTAAGTTTGAATTTGGAAATAAGAAAAAAAGAGATATGTAAGAGATGGACCACGGATCAGATATTAAACTGATCAGAACAGATACTACACTTGATCTTAGCCAAAAGGCCGAGAATTTGGACAATGTAGCTTTCAAGGGGACGAGATAGAAAAAAAAAAAAAAAAAAAAAGGAGGCGAGTCTCGGCGAGATAGATTAGGTAGTGGTTTCGTTGAACGACTGTTTACCCTGATTAGGCGTTGTAACCAATGGGCCTCACTCAGTTCGGACACCCATGAGCTGTTGCAATACAGACCGAAGTTCGAATCGAGATGCAATGAGATGAACAGAGAAGACAATTCTAATAAGGCATTGTAGGCGGTGACTCCTAACCGCTTAGGGCTTCATGGACCTTAGCTGCGATATCTATTTTTCAATTTTGGTGACCATTTTGGTTGTGTGGGAGCTGCAAGGGTGGGGCTCTGCCTGCGCCGGCAGGCTGGAGACATGTCGGTCGGCTCTACCCGCTGTACGAAGAAGTGTTGTTTGTAAGCCTTGGGCGGTGGGCCCCCCCTTGAGCCTTGACGTATTATTGTTTTTTCACTTCAAAAAACAAAAAAAAGGCTAGAAGACCAGTATAAGTATAATCAATACAGAAGACAGAGAAAATGTTAAGGAAGTTTCACGGGCGAGGACTCTGGTTTAGATCCAGAGTCATGATGAGACTTCATCAGAATAGGGGTCCCCTGCCCAGAATCATAAGAATATGGGTCTCCTGCCCAGCCTATGTAGCTGTGAAAAACAGACCTCAGGTTGAATCCTGGTGGAATCAGATGAATGAAAGAACTCTCAATCACCTGGGACCGGGCTTCTCAATGATGATATCTCAAAGCTCTTTCGCGTTTCAAGACGAAGGAGAAAAGAAGACAAAATTTCACAAAAACAGATAATGTATCCGTACTGTTGCCTCTTCCTTTGCTTGCATTCCTTTTAATTTCTTTTTTTCTCTTCTCTCCTTTTTTTCTTTTTTCTTTTTTTTTCTTTTTTTCTCTTCTCTCCTTTTTTTTTTTTTTTCAGAATATAGGAATTTATTTCAATGGGCCCAGGCAATTCAACAGTACGAACATCAGGTCTCAACAAGGGTCCATAGGTCTCCAGACCGAATCCCAGATGGTGCCCGGCCCCGGTTACTCGCTACACCAAGTGATGGACATCAACAGACTTGCAAGTGCTCAATTTCAAATTACACCTCTCTCCGCTCGGAGCATGACCATTTCCCTTTTTGGGTGTTTAGTGTTTCATATCTGCTGAAAAGAATTCCACTTAAACTGGGTGACGGACCTTCATCAACTCATCAGAGAAGAGAGAGAGAGAGAGAGAGAGAGAGAGAAGATAGATAGATAGATAGATAGATAGATAGATAGATAGATAGAGAGAGAGAGAGAGAGAGAGAGAGAGAGAGAGAGAGAGAGAGAGAGAGAGAGAGAGAGAGAGAGAGAATGGATTTTCATTTGGAGCATGCATGAAAGACACCTTGAATGACGAACTCATTCCGGGGACCATAGCCTGTCGTTAAGAGAGAGAGAGAGAGAGAGAGAGAGAGAGAGAGAGAGAGAGAGAGAGAGAGAGAGAGAGAGAGACTACGACCAAGTAAATTCCGGGGCGGTATATTCTGGACAACATGATGACACTGAACGAATCGTTTAGAAAAATCAGGGAAAGGAAAATAAACGCTGCTATCCTCTTCTTTGATTTTGAAAAAGCCTACGACCAAGTAAATTGGGACTTCATGGAAAAGATGGGAGTAGGACCAAATTTCAGAAAATGGATCAGGATACTATATAGGGATGCTATAGGGTGCATCCAAGTGAATGGTCTTCTATCAGATTGCTACCCGATATCCCGCTCGGTCCGCCAAGGGGACCCTCTGGCTCCATCAATCTTTCTTTTCGTAATGGAGGCAATCGCCTCATTTTTGCGTAAAGACCCATCGATTCAGGAACTAGCCAGTACCGATGTAGGCTCAGCCCACAAGATCGATTTTCCTACAGCTATCGTGTTCGCGGATGATGTGACGGTCCTGATCAGGGCGTCTGACTCCTCCTTCAGAACACTAGCCAAGGCAATGGAGACCTTCAAAGTAGCCTCAGAAATGAGGATCAACTGGAAAAAAAATAATTGGATGGTGGATTTCAGAAGATGAACCCCTATCACTCCAAGGGGACGAGGCGACTATGATATGGCAGACACCTGACTCTCCTACTCGACATCTTGGCATTCTAATGACGAGAGATGGACTGGCGCCTCAAATGGGCCCTGCTGTGCTGACAAAACAGATCAATAAGATAGGGAGATGGGGCAACGCATTCACGTCTCTTATTGGCCGGGCGCTGGTCCTCAATACGTCAATCTTTTCAAAGTTGTGGTACATATCCTCCATTTGGACAGTCCCTGACAGCTCCGTCAAGGAGCTGAACCGAAGAGCTAGACTTTACCTCTGGACAGGCGACCCCAACAGAGACAAATGCATATCTAAGACAGCATGGCACTATGTTACAAGGAGGCCACGAAATGGAGGCCTAGGAATTATTGACCCAGAAACGGAAACCAAA